CCCCAGCCCCATCACATTCATTCCTAAATTTCTAAGAATCCATTTTATGCTAAGTGGTACACACCTATAATCCTAGCACTCAGGAGGCTGAGACAGAATTGCTATGAATTCAAGGGTAGCCTGAGCTACAAAATGAGCTAAAGGCCAGCCTGGACTTCAAGGCGAGAACCTGTCTCAACAACAACAACAAAAAAATCTGTTTTCATATTCTTGACATTTGTTATATACATTCTTTACTGTAAGTTACGTACTAGATTTGTTTTTAAATGCTGTCATGAGGGGATCAAAACTATCCAAATTCTACATCTGGTCTATCCATTCTCTCTAGGCTTTGCTCCACAGCAGGTGTAGGAGCTAAGAAGGCCAGGGCAGGTTAGTAGTCGGTTGTTGCCTTCAAACCCTGGTGCAGGCTGGACCAGCAGGTCCCCTTTTTGCCTAAAATTGATTGGGCTGTGAGGTCTTGTATGATCCAAGATCTCATGCTTATTCAATCCACAGTGCTGAGACTAGAGTCTCTGATTTTGTTACTGTGATAGAGGAAGAGAAATCCATTTCAGACAGACCCATCTCATCAGGAAAAATGTCCTAAAAGGGCAAGACAGTCCCTAGAGCCAAATGCAGAATTGGCAGGTCGGAGTGAGGAAGGGAAAGGAGGCGAAGCAGTGTGGTCCAGTATCTCCAGAGAGTAAGCAAGCCTGTCCTCTGTCGTCCTGCCTGGGATTAGGACTGAGAGCAGCACCCAGACTCAGGTTCTTTTAACTCAGTCTATCCCCAGGCAATTCCCTGCAGTCTTAGGATAGAAGAAGACATGGAATGGGAAGAGAGCAGAAAAAGACTCTGACTTCCCTCTCTGGGAGGGAAGACAACCTGCTGCTCACAAGGTGGCTTTAGTTTCTTGCTTTAAAATTAATACATGGCCAAGTGTGATGGTGCACACCTGTAATCCCAGCACCCAGGAGACTGAGGCAGGAGGATCACTCTGACTTTGAGGCCAACCTGGGCTACTTAGCATGCTCAAGTTCAGCCTGAACTACATAGTGAGATCCTTTCTCAAAGCAAACAAACGAAAAAAAATTAATATGGCACATTTCCTGGGACCTAATAAATGGGACCCTGCTGCCTTCTCTTTCCTCTCGTGGAATTAGCTATCTCCTAGGACGATATGCTTGCTCAAACCCTTCATCTTTCCAACCAGCCAGGTATTGCCTCATCTTTTCTGCTGGGTCAGCAGAAGGTTGGGGCCCCTTAGGGATAGAGCTCCCTCTGCTGGCTAACGAGTGTAGCCTTCAGCGCATAGAACACAGTAATTGCCATCGTAATAGTAATCTGTGACACATTATCAGTTGCTGTAGATTCTTAGGGTTGATATGGAGCATGGTATGGGCTCTAGGGTTTGTTGGGGCCACTCTGGAGCAGTGACTTTGGCATACTTCTTCATCTCACTGAGCCTTGGGGTTCTCTCTTTCTTTCTTTTGAGACAGGTTCTCACTATGCAGTGGAAGCTGGCTTTGAACTCCCTTACATAACCCAGACTGACCTCAAACTTATGGCAATCCTCCTGTCTCTGCCTCTCGAGTGTTGGGATTGCAGGCATGGGTCACCATACACAACTCTTTTCTCATCTTGATCATGGTGTTAATAATACTGCTATCTGCTGGGCCCCAGGGAGGGAGGCAGACATGTCAGTTCCTGATTTTACAGAGAGAATGGGGAAGTCACTACACACTAGAGGACTGAAAAAGCCAAGAGGGTATTTGGAATTTACAAATAAAATTGCAGAAAGCAGCCACCATTCCCTTGGGGGACAAAAGAGGTTGGGATTATCAGGATTGGTGGCATCATCTACTCCCATATAGCAAGTCTCCTCCAAGCCTACAGCCTTCCCAGTCTGACAGCAGGCTCCCTGGGCTTCAAGTCTGCTGCGCTTGTCTGTTGGAAGGCCAGCTGGGACATCCGGTTGGTTTGGCCTCTTTCTTTTTCTTTCATCCTGCAGGAAGCTCAATGGCTTTCTCAGGTGGAGGTGGCAACTAACTAAGAAAACCTGGCAGTGCACAGTTGCTGCATTTGCTGCCCCAGTTGCTGATGGGGCTGAAGCAGGTTCCCTGGCCTAGCTGAGTCACTGAGCAGGGGACTACAGGTGAGCACGGACACCAGGAAGCATGATTCACCAGAGATTGCTGGTGGAACAACCTGTCACAAAAACCTGGAAGTTGTGAGGAGAGGCTCCCTGGGCGGCTGCTACCTCAGGAGCTTGGGACAGGGTCTCATGGAGCTGGACCTCAGGCATTTAGAGAGGGCACCAGCAGCTTGTGCTGGGACTGCAGAAAGAAGCAAGAAATTGAAACCACCTGTTGCCTCAGGAGATCAACAAGAAAACAGAAAGGAATAAGGCCCTACTTTTCTTTTTCTGCCTTCCAAAACCCTCTAGTGGCCCCTTATCAGAACTTATTAGAGAGCCTGCTAACAAAGAAGAGATACAGTTTTAGGACTGGTATTTGCACATTTCTTAGCCTAATGAAACATCAGTAATGGACAACTGCTGGGCATGGTGGCACATGCCGGTAATCCTGACACTGGAGGGGCTGAAGCAGGAGGGTTTCTCAAGTTCAAGGACAGCCTGAACAACATAGTAAGACCCTGTTTAGACACCCTCATGGACATTATTTTTATTCTTATTAAAAAGTTAAATCATGGAATCTTCCTTAAGCATGATCTTATTGAACTATCACTATACTGGGTACCATTCAGTGAAATAAAATTTGGAGGATTTTGTTTTGTTTTGTGTGTATGTGAGTTACTGGAGATCAAGCTCAGGTGTGCTTTACCACTAAGCCACCTCCCTCAACCTTTTCTCACTAAAATGCCCAGGCTGGGCTCAAACTTGTGATCTGCAAGTAGCTGGAATCACAGGTATGTGCCACTGCCTTGGATTCTTTTCTAATCCACTTCAGTCAGCTCACTATATCCATGGGGTGAAGTGTTCCTTACTGGAGGCGAAACAGATGGTTCCCCTCATCTTGGACTTCCAGCCTTTACAACTGTGAGGAAAGCCACACCAGTACAGTATGTGTGGACGGCATACATAGATGGAGATGCAAGCTGCTATCCTGTTTGCAGTGTTCACAGTTATTATTAAAAGCCACTGAGTTGATGGTGATGAGTGACATAAAAGGAATAAAACTCACCAAAGATGCCTATGTCCTAACTCCCAGAACATGTGAATGTTCTTATTATAAAAACTATAATAAGTACACTATAAAAAAAACTTTGTAGATGCAACTAAGGATCTTGAGATCGGAGAAATTACTCCAACCCAAACTAATTATAAAAGATCCCTGTAAGTGAAAAAGAGAGCCATGAGGATCAGTCAGAAAGACAGACCAGAAGCAGAGGTTAGAGGGAAAGAAGCTATGCTGCTAATCTTCATTTTATTTTGTTTTGTTTTTGACAGGGTCTCATTTTGGCCAGGCTAGACTTGAATTCACTATGTAGCTCAGTTGTCTTTGAACTTGTGGTGATCCTCCTGCCTCAGCCTCCTGAGTGTTGGAATCATAGGCATGTGCCACCACACACCTGGGTACTCTGCTGTCTTTGAAGATGGAGGAAGAGGCCAATAGCCCAAGAACACATGAGGACTTTAGAAACTAAGAAAAGAACTGGCCTTACCAACGCTTTGATTTTAACCTGGTTACAGTGATTTTGTGCTTCTGACCTCCAAGAACTGTACGATCATAAATTCATTTTGTTTGTAGCTATTTTTTTACAGCAACACTAGGAAAGTAACACATTGGACAAGGCATGGGTCAACGAAATTAATCCAGTACTACACCCAGGTCCAATTAAAAAAAATAATTGGAAACTCTGAATGGCTTCTCACAGCCTCAAAGACAAAGCTTCAGTTCTCCAGCATGGCATATCCGTGGTGGCCAACCTATGACATACATGCCACAGTGCGCTGTTTGTGTCCTTGAAAGCTCTAAAAGGTTCACCATCACTGGTATAGACCCTTAGCAACATAGTTCTACAAGGCCCATATCCGCCTTTTTTGCTATCAAGATGCCTACTTCTTGTTGCCAAAACCATCCTCCCCTGCCCCCAGAACTATACATTTTAGCCATGAATCTTGGCCTGGGAACCGCTTTGCTGTTCCTATTGACTAATCCCTATCCCCAATCAACCCAGGGGCACTGGACTACTGAATTACATACTGAGTGAGCTCTTTTTATTTGAGAAACAGTCTTACTAAGTCGCTAAATTAGGAAGGCTGGCCTCAAACTTGTGACCCTCTAATTTCAATTTCTAGAGTAGCTGGGAATACAGGTGTCCACTACTGCACCTGGCTTCCATATACTTTAATGGGGCTCAACTCCTTTGTCAGGATCTCCAGGTATTGAGTTTTCCAAGTTAAAATCTCCCCTGCAAATTGACATTATGTGTTTTAGTATACAGTTGCTTATACGTATAAGATGAAGATTCAGTAGTACCTGTAGCACTATCACTTGCACAGAATATGTCCCATTATGTTTACAGAATCAACTCTTATTGTGTTTTTTTTTTGTTTTTTCTTTTTCGTTTTTATCGGTACCAGGGATCGAACTCACGACTGCCTGCTTGCAAGACAGGCGCTTATGCCGCTGAGCTAAATCCCCAGCCCCCTCTTAAAGCATTGTTAATTGGGAAGGTTAAAATTGGGCAAGAGACTACAGGACTTTTCATCTTCCCTCCCAAACCCCCCGCCTCCCAGCTTCAAAGGCAGGTACAAATCTAACAAACTTTCTCCTGAAGACGCTGAAGGCGTCTTTAAATTGAAGGCGTGCACACCTTTAAATCTGTGCACGTCTCTGTTCAATTAAATAAGGGTATAGGAAAGCAAGTCATCTTTAAGGAAGGACTGCTCTTTCCTCCTGAATCGATTAGATAGTAGACAGGGAAACCTCTGAAACTTGTAAAACAATTTAAGAGCAGATTACATAGAAACATCTATTTGTGGGAAAACATACCCCAAGACGCAAATGGCTGTGGGGAACCCGAGGTTCGCGCCAGCCTTTCCTACTCGATCTCCATCAGGCCAGTCTCTCTCTGGTCTGCAGCGCGAGGAGGCAGTTGATGACCGCAGGCTCGCCACTCTTGAACACAGGAGAGCCTGTTAAGCCTGCTAGCTCGGACACCACGCGGAGACATAGCTCAATTGAAGAAACCGCTCACTGCTCGGACGGAGGCGGAGCAGAGACTCACGCTAGAATGCACCTTAGGATGCCTGGAGCTGTCCTGGGACGGCCTCCAGCGCGAGGCACTCTGGAACTTGTAGTTTGCTTCCCAGGCAGCGCTTTTCTCACTGGGTCGGTCCACTTAACATCGCTGCTATTCTTCCCGGCAAGCCAACTTCCTGGTTGCCGCACGTCCCCACGTACAACTACACTACCCAGAAGTCTCTACTCTGTCGCGGTACGGAGTCGCTTTCAGACTACAGTTCCCAGAAGCCCACTGGAGAAGTACTTCCGTCGCTACTTCGGAGGACCAGAATTCCCGTGGACTTCACAGTGTGTCTCTTTTTGTCGATTTCCTCTAGAGCTGGCTAAGCTACTGCTGGCCAGCAGGCCCACGGTGACGACGTGGTCCGTCGTGACCGGGCACAAGGTTTCCTTTGCGGCCTGGCTTTCTGTCCCTTCAGATCTCCCTGAGCAGGCCGTGGCGGCTGGCCTGAGCAGTGACCTGGCGGGCCGCGCCTGCGCCCTGCCTTGTTTCCTGCCTGGCTGGTGGCGGCGGCCATTTTGTTCATCCTCCTCCTCCTCCTGCTCCTCCTGGTTGGAGCGCAGTGTCCGGAGCGGGCTGGGGGGAGAGAGCCCAAGAGCGGGGTTCGGTGCCTTTTCCTCTGTCCCCAGACGGTGCCCAGAGCCCCCCTCCCCCTCCTCCCCACCCCCTCCCCTCCCCAGCCCTGCCCTCCCCCTTGTCCCGGGATCGCTCCGTCGCACCCACCATGATGGAAGACGACGGACAGCCCCGGACTCTGTGAGTACCCGAGACCAGGGGTGCCAGGCGCCGGAGGCCCGAGCACCGCGAGACGCAGAGGGAGGGAGCTTGAGACAGAAGGCCGAGGCTGGGACTCCCGGTGGACCTCTGGCCAGGGTGGCGCGGACGCGAAGTGCTTTCCTCATCTGTCCCCTTTCCTTGGGAAGGAAGCCCTCCCTTCCCCCCCAAACGCTGTCACTTCCTGGGGTCTGGGGCTCATCTCGACCTCATGCCCTTCTTCGTGCACTCTTCTAGGCCTGGTTTCTGCACGGCCGAGGCTGTCAGGCCCTGGAGAGCAATGCTTGCTCCCCTCCGCTTTGGGGGGACCTGGGTCAGGCCAGGAGTTGCTCGTCTCGGCGGGGGCAGGCCCTGGTGGGCGTGGGGCGCCCCGGGACCCCGTGCAGGCCTGGAGGAAGGAGCCCTCGCGCCCTTCGTCCCCTCTGCAGCAGTCGCTCCAACTCTTCTTCCGAGTTAAGCTCTCCGAGGAAGCTAGCTGGACACTCTCCGGCCACTAGAGCCCCTTCTCTCCTCCTGCCCCACGTGCCCCCGCCCACGCTGTCAGGAACACCCGCCCAGCGCCCGCTACTTTTGAAGTGCAGGAGCGGCGCTCCTCGCAGCTGGAGCATCTCTCGCTTCTTGGATTACGAAGTATACGTTGAGCGCTGCCTATGTCAAACTGACAACCAGTTGTTAAACGCTTTTTTTTTGCTCTCTTTTTTGCTGCTTCTTAATCTGTGTGTCCAGGCCATCAGAATTAGATAAAATGCCTTCATTCGCTATTAGATGCGTGTTTTGCGGCCTTTTACGCTAGTCTTGCTGTTGCATTTTTACCTCAAGCCCAGCTAATGAATGAACTCATCTTGTAACCGCTTACTTCGAGTTATTTCCTTTCCCAAGGAAGAATGATGACTCAGCAGTTTCTTTCCTTTTGGCATAATGTGACACTCTTTACTTATTCTGTATTTTTAAGTCAGTAGTTTCTAATTCAGTGTTTAAGTAGAGCACCTTCAGTTTTCCCAGTTTCTCTAAGATCCAGTGCTCCTGCCTTAAGTACAATGAGTTAGATTGCAGCTTTGCTTCTCCTGCCTCTTCCTGTTATTGATATGATCAGAGTTCACTTGGCTGGGTTAACTGGTGGAGAAAGTAATTTTTAGGGCAATAGATAAAAGTGAATGGGAACTTAGAAGGTTTGACTGGCTTCTCCGAGCTTCACTGCTCCATAAGTGTGAGAAGGTCAATATGTATGCCAACTCAATACAGATTTTTTTCAGCCTCTTACTTCTTATTTTTATTTCTTCTAATGTCTTACTAAAGTATCTGCCACCCTGTTTTAGGAATTTGAAGCCAACCTAAGCACATCATTTCTGTGAATGAAAAGCATACTTAAAACTTGTATATGTTTTGTGTGTGTGTGTGTGTGTTTTTTCTATTTCTGCCTTCTCCCAGAAATAAAGAGAATTGGAAAATTTGAAATTTGATCTTCAGCATTTGTGGAAGCCAAGACTTGGTATTTGTTAGCAATGTATACTTTGATGAACGCATCTGAGAAAGCTAGATTTAGCACTTTGAGTAGCTTGTATTTAAGGAACATAACAGTTACATTTTATCTAAAGCATTGTATTTGAAATGTCATCATTGCATCCTAGTAGCTTCTGAATCATAGTTAACTCATGGCATATGTCTTATTGACTACTTATTCCTTAGAAGAGGAATTTCTGATTTTGACCTACTACATAATATGCTTTTTCAGTATCTTTTATTCCTAGAACTGTCTTTGTGGCTACTTTGTCTTCATCTGTATCATATCATCTTCAGGAGTCTAATAACCTAATTCTGTACTTACATCCTAATTCTGCCTTCTTTAGTCCCCTTTCCCCCATTACACTTAAGTTGTTTGTTAATAATGTGATGTATACCTATGAGCAAATAAACTTCATAAACTCTATCATTCCTGTATGTCAGTACATGTTTACTGTTTTGTCTTCCTTTCTTCTGCTGTTCTTCATAGGAAGGGTTTTTTGTTTTTGTTTTTTTAGACAAAGACTGCTACACCCCTAGGTGTTACCCCTCCAGCACTTAGTTCACTGCCTGGAACCTAAGAGGTACTCAATAAGTATTTTATGATGATTATACTTCTTTCATGAAATTAGTATTAAGTCCTTTTTTTAAACTCTCAATTAATTTATAGGTAGACATTATTGTCATACCTGGTGCAGTTTATTGGTTTTTATTTAAAAGACCTTCAAAGATAAAATTGTGAGATAAAGAGCTGGGAATGGTGGCCCATGCATGTGAGCCCAGCACTTGAGAGGCTGAGGCAGGAGGATTACTTTGAGTTCAAGGTCAGCCTAGGCTACATAGTGAGTTCAAGGATAATCTGAACTATATAACAAGACTCTACTTCCAAAAAAAAAAAAAAAATGGTGAGATTAAAAACAATTGAATTTTTTTTTTGCCAGAGTTTAATAAAAAATAGTGCATAGTAGTTTTTCAAAGTATACAGTTAGTGCTGGGCATGGTGGTGCATGCTTGTAATCCCAGCACTTAAGAGGCTGAGCCTGGAGGACCATCAAAAGTTTGAGGCCAGCCTGTACTACCTAATGAGCTCAAGGCCAGCCTGAATTACAGAATGAGACCCTGTCGTACCCCCCAAAAAATACATATATACACATTTAATATAAACACACACATACATTTAATATAAATTTTTTTATATATTTGTCAAAGAGATCAGTTGGATACAAGTAATTGAGAAAAAACTTAGAACATGATATTAAGTTATTTAGTAGAGTTGTTTGAGATCCTGTGTTTTGCACTGTAATCTATCAGTTAGGTTTTCATATGGCTAGTATGTTTTTTGATTGTTCTCTTATCAAAAGCTTACCTTAACTTGTTTTCTTAAAATGCCTGTGTGTTACTAGTGAGGTTTTTTTCCTGCAGACACACACAAGCTAAGACATATGGTTCTATCTTCAGAAAACAATATGGTGTTTATAGCCTAGGTAGGTCTTTAAATATTCATTACCTACAGTATTATTAATTTATTTAATGGTATTTAAAGTGGTATAGAATTGTTTTGATGTTGGGCCTAAATTTCTATTTGTTACATAGTTGCTTTAATAGTCTTGTTTTCTGATATTCTTCATTCTCATTTGACATTTATTTTGGGATATTGTGTACTGGGGAATTATGATCTTAAAAACAGACAAACAAAATCATGCATGCCATGTAATACTGGTGTTTGAACTGGTCCATCTTGTAGGACACAAGTTTCAGGCTTGTGTTGTATTTTGTAGTGCAGTGATTTGACCCGCAGTTTAATCTGAATCTACCATGTAGCACTAAATCATATTAGTGTTCTATTGTAGTTTCTTCGTCTCTTCAATCCACCAAAATCAGTGGAATTGTGTATCTGGGAAATAACCATGTTATGCAGTGCTGTCATTTTAAGGCTGTTTGTTCTTCCTGATAGTCAAAAGGAGGAAATAAACCAGTGATATAGAGTATAATCTGAACATTTAAAAAAAAAGCAGAACACTAAAATTTCATTGTAAAGTCGACTAGTAAATTCATAGATCTGGCTATATTATGGCTATAATCAAGCCCCTCATTCTGTTTGATTATATTGTTTCTTTAAAATACATGTGTATTCCTTATAGATAGTTGGTCAATTCAGTTGTACAACTTGAATCTTTCCTCCATCCTGCCTCCATCTAAAAATGAAATACTGACAAAAAATTCATCAGAGGTCTATGAGAGGATATTGTTGCAAAATATCTTGGAACTTGTCAGGTACAAAAGAAAAGAATGTTACTTTTATGGAAACTTAGCCATAGTATTTTGTATAAAAGTACTGGTAATTTCAGCCTTGGGAGAACTGCTTTTTTCAGATTGAGAACATATTCAGTGTTGAAAACTGTCATTAGTCTTCTGCACTGCACGATGTTCTTAACTTAAAATTCCACTCAGTTGGACAGAGGAAACTGTTTGGCGATGTGAACTTCTGTGCCTGCTGTGATAGGAAACTGCCAAATTTTTAGTCTCAAGTTCAGTCTTAATTGTAATATTAAGGGTAAAAATGCTGTTTCAGTTTTCAATGCTTCAGTTCTTATATAGTTCCTGTTCTTAGAAGACAAGACTGTAAAAATATCTTATTTTTTTTCTTGAGTTAAAAATTATTTTGAGCTAGGCATGGTGGCATACACCTGTAATCTCAGCACTTGGGAGACTGAGGTAGGAGGATCATGGTGAGTTCAAACCAGCCTGGGCTACAAAGTGAACTCAAGGCCAGCCTGAACTGCATAGTGATAGCCAGTCTCAAAAAGACCAAAAAAAAGGAATTTCCTAAGTATTTTCTCTTTTGGATTGACCTCTAACTATAGGAACTCAAGTCTAACTGGGAAACTTGGAAAGAAAAATAAGATAGCTTTCAATAAGGTACTAAAAAGATAGCTGGGCACATTGTCTGTGCCTATAATCACTTTTGAGGCAGAAGGATCAAAAGTACCAGCCTAGCTTCAGGAATTTAGCAATTATCTCAAAAAAAAAAAAAAAAATGGAAAAAAACAAAGTAGGTAGATAAGTCTGGGGATGTATATATAGTTCAGTCTTGATTTAATTTTTAGCTCTCCCGCAAAAAAAACCAAAAAAACAAAACAAAACCCTACCAAACCTCAAGGCCAGTCTGAACTGCATAGTGAGACCCTGTCTCAAAAAGCCAAAAAAATACAAATTCAAAAACCCTAGCAAAAAATGGAACTTACTGGTCAAGTATTGAACTTTGTTTTAAATATTTTTGATAGTATTTAACTTGGCACAGATGATCTTATGACAATGTAAAGGACTTAAACAGTTATAGTATTTCAACAGCTACAAAATATGTTTCTATTAAGTACTGTGATCCATGCAGGCATGTGTAAATGCATTAATTATAAAACTCAGTAAAAGAACAGGCAGTCTGAAATTTAGGTGAAATTGTTTAGTGAATCCTGTCTTTTTTAAAGTGGTAAGTCAGTGTTCTACATATGGTTGTGGAAGCCCTTTTATGTTAATTTTTGAAGCTTAGTTTGCTGTTTTACCACTTAACTCTTAGTAGAAGTATTTAAAAAGTAGGAAACTTTAAAATGGGATTTTTCTATAAATCATTCTAGACTTACTGACATTTTGATCTTTTGCATCAATACTAGAAATGCAGATTGCATGTATATGTTTTTATGTGTGTGTGTATGTATGTCTTTAGAAATTCTTTACAGTGTATAACTGGTTAGAAATAGGTTAACAGAATAAAAATCCTATTAAACAGCAAGAAATTATTGTGACTCTCAGGTATGGAAGACAATTAATACTCACACAGTTTTTCCTGAACAGATAAAGATTTAAAGAGTAACTTAAGTTTAAAACTAAATCAGCTGAGATGGTGGTACACACATATAATTCTAGAACTTCTAGAGGCTGAAGTAGGAGAATAGCTAGTTTGAGTCAGCCCAGGCTATAAAGCAAGAACCTGTCTAAAAAAAAAAATCATTTCAATGTTGTTACTAGCTAGCTTCAACATGTGAAATCAGTCTTGTGCATTCTTTTCTCTTAGAAATAAGCTTTTTAGGTTAGATGACCGTAGTGTTTAGAACATCATATTACCTATTTATTTTCCTTGGAGGTAGGTCTGCCTTGAATAAAAACAAGTTATTGATGGTTACAAGCACACAAATCCCTGTGAATTAAAAAAAGGGGGCCAGGCAATGAATTGTCTGTGACTAGATCATAACTCTAAAACTGTACTGCTCCTGGAAAAATACATCATTGCATTGGTGTAAAGATGGGTAAGCTCCACTTAAATTATGAGGAAAATATGGCAAACTGAACCTAAACCATTTCATAAATTGATTTGATTTCTTACATTGCGGTTGTATTTCACTTATACAGTATGAACAAGGTTATAAGTACCCATTGTAAGGAAATTCTTAAACTGGACAGTTGCTACTCATTCTTAATTGGATCTTTGTGGGGCTTTTTGTTTTGTTTTGCTTTGGTTGAATTTAGCTTTCCTGGTCTAATTTGGTTTTTCATTTTGTTTTGTTTATTTGTTTTTTTCTTTTAACCTGTTCCATCTTATAGCAGTTTTTTTTTAAGTAGTTACTATTTAATGTGTAACTATGTTGCAAAACTTGATATTAGTGCAATACTTAGTTTCTAGCAATTAGGTTTAGAAAAAGAAAATGTTTATCTTTTACTTTATAGAAGAAATGTTAAAATTTACAAGTACTTTTCTGTTTGGTTTATGAATGGTTTATGACAAATGCAGATTTGAGGATTTATTTGCTAAGTACCAGAAAGAGTTAAAACTTAATCGTTAATTGAGATAAGTCAAATCCATGGTACAAGACATAAGTCAAGGTGGTGAAATAGTGATTTTTCTTTCTTTAAAGCTTATATGTAAAATATATATATTGAATTTATGACTAGGAATAGAACATCTAGTCAAAAGTATATCTGGAGTTTTCAAAAACTTCTGAATTTCTAAAACAGTCTTTATACTTGCTTTGTTATATACATAGAGGTGTATTTTGCTGAACCTGATGTACTTTGTGACTAGGAAATTTTATCATTGTACTGTTCTCCTAAAACAAAGCAATAAAGACACCACTGCTAAGTCTTATTTAACAAAAAACAAAATCCTTCCACCCTCTGTGTTTTACTGTAACTTTAATTACTTTATTTATGTAATTGCTTTGGTTCAGAGTCTAAGATGAACCTGCTTTATATCTAATATTTTTTATGATCACCTACTTTAGTAACTCAGTATTTGTTATATTTGTGGATCATGAATTATTTTTGGATTAGAAATGGTATTTCTTGAGACTGATTTAAATTTTTACAGATAAAATGAGAAAATGATCATACTGATTTGTTCTTTATACTATCCTTTGAAATGGTGTTTTAATAACTTAAGAACACTTAATTGTTGTCCTAGAGATAAAGCTTAATCTTATTTTCATAGGGTCAGTATTACTTGGAAAAGTGAAGACACAGAAAGTTGAAATTAAAAGGTGATGAGTTAAATGGTAATGCATTAAGCCAGAGCTAAGAGAAAATTGCTAATAATGTATTTTTTTTTCTTGTTCAGATATGTAGGTAACCTCTCCAGAGATGTGACAGAAGTCCTTATACTTCAGTTATTCAGTCAGATTGGACCCTGTAAAAGCTGTAAAATGATAACAGAGGTAAGGTCTTCCCAGTACACATGTTGTCAATCAGTGTGATGTCTAACATTTTGAGATAGTTGGGCTGATTAACAACATTTTAAAAATTGTTAACTTTTTATTTTGATTTGGCTAATAAAGTAGATTTATAATGCAGTTATTTTCAAGAGGGCGAAGTTCTGTGCTGTTAGTTTCAGGCATTTTTCATGATGTCAGCTTGAAACACATTTGATAACTGTATTTTAACAATTTTTTTTTTTTTTAAAAACTGTGTATGTACAGCCATTTGAAGGGCAGAGAGATTCCAAAATGAATTAATACTTACCCATATTTTCAACTCAGATTTGAACTTACGAATAGTTACAAAATCTTGTTTTTCTTGTCTTGACTTTTGTGTCATCCAACAAAAATTGATAGCATCATTAGTTAAGGTAAGGACTTGATCTTTTAGAGCCACTTGGTGGTGGTATAAGTGAGAAGTTTCTAAAGGGCATGAATCATAGTGGATCTAGCCATTTGTCTTCCTTTCCTCAATTTCATTTTGAAATGTATAAAATCCTTTTTCTTCTTAGTTTTGTGATTTTTAAGTTTTAAGATATACCTTTCTCTATATGCCTTTCCCTATGTAGTAAGTATATATAGTTTTTTAAATCAGTTTTTTTTTTTTTTTTGATACTGGGGATTAAACTCATGACCTTGTGCTTGCTAGGCAGGTGCTGTGCCACTGAGCTAGTCCCTGGCTTAAATCAGATTTTATTGGTATGTTTTAGATGTACATAATGATCATATGGATCATAGAATTTGTGTCTGTATGTGATTCAACTTGATTATTTTTTCTCATTCTGCTACCTCTCTTCAACAACTCTTTCCATTTACAAAAGCTTCATTTTCGTATTTTTCTTTTTTTCTCTTTTTTTTAACACCCCCCTCCCCCCGTTTCTTTCCCATTTGAACATTTTTCTTCCTATTTCACAATGTCTGTTATACATTTTGGTCCTTAACTTTTGGTTTCTCACACTAGAGAAATAATGTGCTATTTACACATGTGTCTGATTTATTTCTCTTAAGAGTATAGTCTCAAGGTGCATCAATTTACCTAGAAATGTCTCAAGAGTATCCTTCTTTGTGACAGAGTAGTACTTCATTGTATAAGAAAAATCACATCTTTGTCCATTCACCAATTGATAGCATTTGGGCTGTTTCTAAGATTTGGCTATTACAGATGGTGCTGCTATAAACATGGATGCACATATATTGCTGTTTTATGATGTTTTTAATTCTTTTTGGAAGATACCCAAAAGTGGAATAGCTAAGAGTCCTAGTTTTTTGAGGAATCTCCACACTAATTTCCACAATAGTTGCACCAGTCTGTATTCCCACCAACAATGGAAGAGGGTTCCTTTTTCCCTAAAGCCCCTTCAGCATTTGTTAGTACTTGATTTTTTGGTAATAGCCATTCTTTCTGGGTTGAGATAAAATCTCAGTGTTGTTTTAATTTGCATCCCTGAAATGACCAGTAGTGTTAAACATTGTTTCATACATTTATTTGTTGTTTGTAATTGAGAAGTGTGTATTTATATTAGATGCCCATTTTTGGATTGGGTTTTTTAATTTGAGGAGTCTGGGGTTTTTTTGTTTGTTTCTTGTTTTGTTTTTGAGTTCTTTATGTGTTCTTGATAGTATTCCATTGTCTAAGGAACATTTGGCAAAAATTTTTCCCACAGTGGGTTGTCTGTTCACTCTGTTGGTGGTTTCTGTACGTATATATTCTTGATTCTAAGGCAAATAACAAAAAGTTTTAGCATCTCTCTCTCTTTTTTTTTTTTTTTTTTTTTAAATCGGGACCGGGTATTGAACTCACGACTGCAAGGCAGGTGCTTATGCCGCTGAGCTAAATCCCCAGCCCCTAGCATCTCTGATACATGGAATTTTACTTAAAAATCACTGGTGCTGCTTTCTATCCTTGTGCAAACACCTGGCAAATGTTCCTGAAACCCAGCAAACTTTTCTAAAAAGTTTGGCAAGCACCAGCACCACAAAGTGACACAGTACAAGAAAGCCAAAAATTCTCTGTGTACCTAGGGGAAGCAGTATTGTGACAGGAAAGTGGAGTGGCTATGGTGCGCAGAGTAAGCCAGTTTTGCATGAAAAGGCTAAAACTACAAAGAAGTTTGTGCTGAGGCTTGTGTATGTTGAACCCAGATCTTTGAGAGTACTGGCTATTAAGAGATGCAAGCATTTTGAATTGGGAGGAGACAAGAGAAGAGGCCACATGATCTATTTCTCTTCTTCCTCTTTTGTTTTATTATAAAGACAATAAAATCTTGAGGTTATGGTTTTAAAAGTGCTGTCTTAGATTAAATGCAGTGTGATATGAATATATATCTGATATGAATGTTTAAATATATGTGTAGGATCTTCCATTATCTATGATTTTGCTTGCCATATTGTCAGTTATGTATGGTTGGTAAGATTCCAGAAGTAAACAATTCAGAAGTTTTAATTTACATCCAGTTCTGAGTAGTGTGATGAAACTTTGTGTCGTCCCCACTGGGACATGACATTTGTTTGCCCAGTGTATTAGAGCTATATATGCTACTTGCCCTTTAGTTACTTAGTTGCCTTCTATAATATTAAATTGACAAGGTATCCCAGTGCTTCTTGTATTCAAATAAGCCTTATAATAGCCCCATACAAGACTAGTGATGCTGGCAATTTGGATATGACAAAGGAAAGCTGTAAAATGCTTCCTTTAAAGTGAGGAAATTGGACCCTGGTGTGGTGGTGCATGTCTTTAATCCCAGATTTTTAGGAGGCAGGAGAATTGCCACAAGTTTGAGGTCAGTCTGGGCTCCATAGTAAGCTCAAAACGCCTGGACTGCATAGTACAACCCTGTCTTTAGAAGAAGAGGGAAAAAGTATTACATTTATGTGAGTGTATGTGGAGGAAAAATATGGCATATACAGAATGTGCCACTATCTGAAGTTTCAAACTTCCCTTTAGGCCTTGAAACACCCCTTATGGGATGTTTTGCTATACGTGTACATGCATATTAACATAAATAGGACCTGGCCTGTTGCTGGTTAGGATATGTAATTTGAAGTCAGTGTGTACAAATGGATTTATACTAAAAGCTTTGCCGTTTTCATAGCTTTGCTATTGAATCCCTATGTATTCTGCTGTAATTATCAAAATGTTTTCTTTAGGGACTAATAAGACATAAAAGGAATACGCATCTAACAGAATTTTAGTTATTTAGTTACTTTTAAATCCCTTCCTCACTGAATATTTCTTTTTTTTCTTTTTTCTTTTTTCTTTCTTTCTTTCTTTCTTTCTTTCTTTTTTTTTTTTTTGTCTTTCTGAGACAGGGTCTCTATGCAGTTCAGGCTGGCCTTGAGCTCACTTTCTAGCTGAGGCTGGTCTTGAACTCGCAACGATCCTCCTGCGTGCTGGGATTACAGGCATGAACCACCACACCCAGCTCAAATATTTCTGATAAAGTTACCTGTTGTGTATCTTTGTTTTGGAGTCCTTTCCCCCATTTCATGTCTCTACTTCTTTATGAATAGTGTTTACCCAATGTGATATATGATAGGATTTTGTATGTCAGTTTATGATTTTCTTATTAAATGTTAATCATTCTACTGTTTGACTGTGAAGGAAATGTTTCGGGTTGCTTCATCACTATTCAGACATCTTGCTTTGGATTTTTCTTCTAAAACTTTTTTTTTTTTTTTTTTTGGTACCAGGGATCACTTGACCTTACGCTTGCCAGGCAGGCGCTTATGCCACTGAGCCCAATACCCCTTCTTTTTTTTTGTCTTTTTTTCGTTTTTATCGGTACCGGGGATCGAACTCACGACTGCCTGCTTGTGAGGCTGGCGCTTATGCCACTGAGCTAAATCCCCAACCTCCCAACACCCCTTCTAAAACTTTTTGAATGAAAAACAATGGTTGTTGCACAGGTATTTATTTTATCTAATATTTTTGTTCCTGTAAGTCTACATAGAATTTTGCTTATTGGTCGATTTCAGTACTGAGGATTGAATGGAGGGCCTTCACACTGAGCTACATATCTAGCCCTTTTTAATTTCGTATTTTGAGACAAGGTCTCCCTGAGTTTTTGAGTTGACCAGACTAGGCTTGACTTTGATTTTCTCCCTCAATCTGTCAGCATGCAGAGATTATAGACATCTACCTCCATGCCCAACTTCCTCATTCTAAATAAATATTCACCCTTTTAGGGTACTTTATGTTGAATAGTGATGAGTTGTTTTAACCTTACATAAAAAATATTCCTGTAGAGCTATATGACCATCCAGTGTAGGTTGCAATCAATTTATAAAGATTTTTTTGATTGTTATATAGCACTACTTTCTCAAATACATATTTGCTTTATCAATCATATATTTAGTAATTTTTTTATATTGGTGTTTTTGTGTTGTAAAGTTGTAGTTTTGTTTTTGTTTTTTGGTGCAGTGCTGGAGATTGAATCCAGGGCCTGCCACATGCTAGGCAAGTAAGCAACCACTGAGCTACACCTCCAGCCCTATCCAGAAATACTGTGTTTAGATATATTTTAGCAGTTATTTTTTAGTTTACCTGTATATTTCTGACTTTCGAAGAGCAAGTCAAAGTATATTGAATCTTCAGTGCATTACATGTTTTTGGAAGATAGATCATTTCAGTATTACAAGGCTTAAATTTTTCTATTTTTCTCAATCTTATTCAGAAAAGAAATAGAGATAACCTAGTCTTTGAAGCACCACAGAGTGTACTGTAGTTTGTAATGATACAAATTTTGGTCAGGAGTAAAGTTTATAAAGTTGATTCAAACATACTTCACCAGAATTCTGTTCTGATACTTACAGTCATGATTCTATACTATTTTTATAGTTCTGTTGAGTACAACAATGTTCTTAGGTACAAAGTCAGATTAGCTGTACATCCTTTTTCTTTTCTTTCTTTTAAGCATTAGGCTTTCATAAGGTTTTGCAGTCTCACTTTTTACATTCCTAGCAGTCAGTAATGTTTTTTCCTGGATTTTCTTCTCAGCAACCCGATAGCAGAAGGGTCAACTCTTCTGTTGGATTTTCTGTTTTGCAGCATACAAGCAATGACCCATATTGCTTTGTGGAATTTTATGAACACAGAGATGCAGCTGCTGCATTAGCTGCTATGAATGGGAGAAAAATTTTGGGAAAGGTAAGATAACTAACTGGTGGCACCTTACTAGTACATGTGTTTGCATGTTGAATTAGTTTGTATTCTTTCTTAGCAAATTTTCAAACAGATATTCAGCTTCTGAGTGATGGTTTTGCCTTATTCAGCCTAGTGGTTTTGCAGAAGTAAACCCTGCTTAGTAAACAATAATGTCAATTACAAGAACATGCCTAATAATTGTGTTAAATATAATCTTTATTTTTAGGAGGTCAAAGTAAACTGGGCAACAACACCAAGTAGCCAGAAAAAAGATACTTCCAGTAAGTACTCCTGCTGCACTGAAATTTTCCTGGCAGCATTACCAGCTTAACTAGGGTTTTTTGCTACTTCCTGTTGCCTAAAAAAGGTTTAGTAGCTGGCTTCTTGAGTATTTGATCACCAAATGCTTTGATTTCAGATCATTTCCATGTGTTTGTTGGCGATTTGAGTCCAGAAATTACAACAGAAGATATCAAATCAGCATTTGCCCCCTTTGGTAAAATATCGTAAGTATCATAATCAGTACTACACTCAGTAGTGATAAGCAAAATTACATATGATTGACTTGTACTGGAATTAAGATTTTCTTTCTCTAGTTAGTGTATTTTTCTTTTGCTTTTTGGTTTTCTTTTCTTAGTTTGTTTTGTTTTTTGCGTAGATGTTGTTGCAAATGTTAATGTCATTTGAATGTTTTAGGGTCTTGTTTTCATAAATAACCTGTGTATAGTATGTTTAAAAATTTAAGTGGTTCTGTTTGTTATCTTTGAAGCAGATGTTTAGCTGGTAAAACTTAATTACAGTGTTTTAACTTTTTGTCAAATGTTCTTAAAAACTGGTGATTAAAGAAAATAGATTAATAAATAAATGTGGTTCATACTCTGTATTTATTGAAGGAATTAATGGAGAGTAGGTGAATATTTGGGTATATTGTTAAATTAGAAATGTATATGTTTATAACAATAAATGTGTTTTATTTTAACTATAAGTAAAAACTAGTACTTTACTGTATTAAAATGTTTCATGTCTGAATCATGAATGTGGAATTAATTAGGTTTTTTGGTTATATTTGATTCTGCTAGTAAGGAACAAATGCTTTGGTTTTTAACAAAATGTGTGTTCGGATTTACTGTTATTTGATGAACTATAATGGGAAATTAAATGTAATTACAAATTCTATGAAGTAACCCAATTTATTTGATTAAAATCAGTCTGTTTCATGTATTTCCTGTAGATATAAAAATTGTAGTATTATACAGAAATGTTTCAATTAAGAACAACAACTTTTCCTCTATATAATTTGTTGTTCTAGAGATTTAATTTGAAGATTTAATTCTTAATTTTCTATTTTGATACTTGCTTTGCTTTTAATGTAATTGTGGTAAGTAGTATTGTTTTAAAAATCAGTATAAAAGTAATACAGGTTGTTATTTTTCGATCTTTATATATACCTGAGACCTGCAGTTTTCTAAAGTCCAAGTCACAATTAAAAGTAATAGCATTCTGGTTATTTTGCAGAATTGCTCATAAGAATGGACAGGATCTTGAAGGCTAACTGCAAGGAACTGTGCACACTGGAACTCAGTTGTAGATTTTTTTTCTCATTTCTATTTATTCTTATTATACATTATTTATATATACATATTTTAGTATTTACATTTTAACATTCTATATTCAATGGAGTTCTATATTTCCAATCATTTTAACTTACTCACTAAAATTTCTGTGTAAATTTGTTGTTTTCGTACTGGTGTGCTTAGCGTTGTTGTTAGTTTTTTATTCTCCTTTCTTAAATTTCTGAAAATGTCAATTTTTCAAAATTTACAGCTGCCCAAACTCCAAAATGATGGTAGAGAATTGACCAAGAAAAATAAAGAAATCTGTTAACAGGCCATGTATGCCTTTTTAATTCCTATTTTTTCCTCTTTTTCAATTTTTTAATATTTCATATATTTTGTATCACTAGGCAGAAGACATTTAACTATTTAGAGATTGCATGGTAAAGTAGTTAGCATTGTTACAGTAATTTATAGAATCAGTAAATCTTAGAAGACACTAGCAAATAGAATATTAGAAAAGGAAACTATTGTTCCTATTAATCGTCAAATTTGAGCATTTAGTTTAGAAAGTACAGGCTATTTAATTAGGTTGCATGTTTATTACATGTTTTTGTCTTACTGCTTTTTTCTAACAGGTAAAGAAGCATTAGGGAGAGTTCAGGAATGGCTGTAGTTAATTAGGGCTAACTGGAATTTTATTTAAAAAATGCTCACAATACAGTGTGTGTGGTTCCTTTTAGTTTTTGTTTTGAGGGTGACTTTTACTTCCCTCATTTAGCTGTGCTTCTTTTCACAGGGATGCTCGGGTAGTTAAAGACATGGCAACTGGGAAATCCAAAGGCTATGGTTTTGTATCTTTTTATAACAAACTGGTACGTTCTTTCAACTTAATCCTAAATTTAGTCAGTTTTAACATACAGTAATTGAAATTTGAATATGATCGATAGTAACTGTATATACAACTTTTATGTAATTTTGTGTGCTAATATAGTATAATTCTTTCATAAATTGAAAATAAATAGCTGGAAAAAGAAAGGATGGGTATACTAACTATAAAGGTTATTAAACCTTTATAGTTTATGTGCATTAGTGAAAGTAAAATATATCAGAAGGAAAGCCCAAGTCTAAGACAAGTAAAGTAATCTGAGAATTTGAATGAGGGAAGTAAGTACATTCTTAACCATGAAAATCTCAGTTTTAATTTTTCTTTGAAATTATTGATACTTTTATAACTGAAATGTTAATGACTATAGTATTACGTAACTGAAAATGTAAGCAAGCAATTTTTTTGATTTTGGGATGACTTCTTTTAAAATAAGGTAGCAAAACCAGGTGTAGTAGTACATGCCTATAATGCGAGCATTTGAGAGGCTAAGACAGGATGATCACTGTGAGTTCAAGGGCAGCCTGAAATACATAGCAAGACCTTGTCTCAAAAAACAAAACAAAACAAAAATGGAGGTGGGCCAGGGATATGGCTCAGACATGCAGCATCTGCAGCACAAGGTCCTGAGTTCAATTCTGGTACCGTAGGGGGGAAAAATGTAGCAAAATAAGCATTTGCATTAACAATAAAGTGGGCTTTACTTTTAGAACAGCCTCAGCAACTTAAATTACTTCTCTGTTACTTAAGTGGGCTAAAAGCTAGAGTTAATTTGAGTTGTCTTTGATTAATCACATATACACATTGATTTAGATAATCCAAACTCACTTGTTATTGATAACTCATACCATGCTCAAAAGTCTTTTCTTAAAGTGATTTTAATGTGTGTCAGTCTTAATTCATTATCATTAATATCATTACTATATAGAATAGTTTTTAGAGATAGGCATAGCATAGTTTTTAGAGGTTAATATATAGCATAGTTTTTAGAGGTTTAGATTGTTAGTATTTTCACATTTTCTTGTAAATTTTACATTAAAAATCAACCATAAAATTAAAATACTTGGGGCCAGGAATATAGCTCAGTGGCACAGTGCCTGCCCGGCAAGTGCAAGGTCATGAGTTCAATCCTTGGAATGAAAAAAATTAAGATCCTTGAAAACTGCGTTGTTTTAGGAGATTTCTGTCTTCCTTCTAATTTAAATGTATATATTTAAGGAACTACTAAAATTTTTTGAGTAATTAATGAGATCATATTGCATATTTGAACCAGGATTAATTTCCCTTTTCTTAAATATTAGTATTTTGTAATAAAGACTAAAAATAGCTTTTTTGATTCAGTGAAGTTCAAAATTATTTTCTTATTGGTATAATTTTAAGTTTTTTTTGAGGATGCATAGTGAATCCATTTACTGATGAGATTTGTTAGATTTAGTGGTGCTAACTTTTATTTCATCTAACTTGCCACTATTTTCTTTGTTTGTTCTTTTTTCTCTGTAGGATGCAGAAAATGCAATTGTGCATATGGGAGGTCAGTGGTTGGGTGGTCGACAGATCAGAACTAATTGGGCCACACGTAAACCACCTGCACCAAAAAGTACACAAGAAAGTGAGTTGTCTTTGCTATGCATGTTGAAATTATACATTCTTCACAAATGACATATTATGTAGACTTTTGGGTTGTTTTTTTTGTTCGTTTGTTTGTTTTGAGACTGGATTTCACATTGTAGTTTCCTGGTATGTTTTTGAAATATGAAATAGTCTAATTATATCAAATCAAAATACTGAGAAAATATAATAATTTATATATAATAATTGATCAAATTATATCAAATCAAAATACTGAGAAAATGAAATTTTCTCCTTCCATTGAGGCATATAGTAATTAATAAAAAGTAATGATGCTCCATGCATTTTAGGCAAGTGTTCTTTTACTAAGCTATACTTGAAGTCCAAAAGAATTTTATAACACTTTGAGTAACAATATTTTCACTTTTTTTCCCTACATTATAGATAACACTAAGCAGTTGAGATTTGAAGATGTAGTAAACCAGTCAAGTCCAAAAAATTGTACTGTATACTGTGGAGGAATTGCTTCAGGGTTAACAGGTACTGTTTGGTTTTTCTGTAATGATTTTGGCTGTGGAGCTTTATCAGTATTAATATGACCTTAAGGATATGAGTCTTAATATTTCATTAATTAATTAATTTATTTTTTAATAGATCAGCTTATGAGACAAACATTCTCACCATTTGGCCAAATTATGGAAATAAGAGTTTTTCCAGAGAAGGGCTATTCATTTGTCAGGTAATATTCTACCTGTAATATTATTAGTAGCCTTATATTGGATGCATTTTTTTTAACTTACATTATTTGACCACCACTTCCAGGTATCAGTTTATTATTTTAGTACTTCTATACTATACACTATTTTAAGTCCTTAAAATATGAGACAAAACCTCATTTATTTATTTTCTTCTAGATTTTCTACCCATGAAAGTGCAGCCCATGCCATTGTTTCAGTGAATGGTACCACAATTGAAGGACACGTGGTTAAATGCTATTGGGGTAAAGAATCTCCTGATATGACTAAAAACTTCCAACAGGTAATTTAATTTTTGTGCCACTTTTTAAAGGTTTCCATCTCACATATCTGCATAGAAGCTTTGGAAACTGTAACAGTAAAATAAAGTATATAGCTATGTTCAGTTGATTGTGTTAATGCTATTTCAAAGTTGATTATTTTGCGGTATTAACTGAATCTTAATACTTTCTTTTCACAGGTATCACCACCCCAATAAACTTAGACAATGATAAATAACAGAGTCCTATTCACATAAGGGTGCTTACTTAGTTTTTCTCTTCCTTGTCTCCCACTCTTTCTTCAAATACGGTGTTTCTTACTTGTTTCTGAAATACTCATCTGCTTTTTCCCTAGGTTGACTACAGTCAGTGGGGCCAGTGGGGCCAAGTGTACGGAAACCCCCAACAGTATGGCCAGTATATGGCAAATGGGTGGCAAGTACCGCCTTACGGAGTATATGGACAGCCGTGGAACCAACAAGGATTTGGAGTAGAGTAAGTTTGGTTTTTTTAGTATAAAAATAGATATAGTCTCCCCAAAAGATGGGTTTCCTAGAGAGGTATTTGGATTATGAACACAGAAGCAAATCTAGTAAAATGTGATTTATAATGCTAAAGATCTGTCTCAACTATTAGGGTGAAGGGATTTTGGGGTAACATTTGGTGTGACCTATCTTTGTAAGCAGCTTGTAGAATTTAACTTACATCTCTAATTCACTTTTATTTGTCTAGAGCTGTTCAGAAGTTTTTTTGTTTGGAGACAAGGTCTCCCTACATAGTTCAGATTGGCCTTGAACTCACTATGTAGCCCAGGCTGGGCTTAAACTTAGCTACTACCTCAGCCCTCCAAAGTGCTGGCATTACAAGTATACGTCACTATGCTTGGCTAGAAAGTTGTTGGTTTTATTATTGTTTGCCACACATAAATCTTAGAAATTCATTTTATAGAAAATACCTTGCTTTTTATTTTTGTTGATAAAATGGGTTGATTGCTTCTAATTTTTTCCCCCAGTCAAACCTAGTTCTTTATTTTCACTAGTTATTTTTGAGACTCATTCGAATATGAACTTGTGTTTTTAAAAATGTCTTTTGCTAAATCCTATATGCAATGTGTGTTGGGTGGGTGGTATGTAGAATCTGTTAATTTTTTTTTATCTTTGATGGTAGTGCTAGGGATAGAGCCCAGGGGCACTATACCACTGAGCTACATGCTCAGCCTCCCTTTTTTTTATTTTAAAAATATTTTTAATTTATTTTTAGACAGAATTTCACTAAGTTGCCCAACTGGGACCTGAACTTATGAGACTCCTGTTTCAACCCCCCGCAGAACTGGCATTATAGGCATTATTTTCATTTTTTAAAAATAAATATTTAAATATTCTTCAGAGTTAATCATTGTGCTAAGTTGTAGTTACCTTAAAACTGTTAAGACTAATAGATATGTATTCCATACATTATCTTTGATCTGTTTGTTGTAGGTTTGTTGACTTCTAATTGTTATTGTTATTATACTGCTTAATTGTACACATGTGTACGTGATTTTTTTTTTTCTTCTTGTATTTGCTGAAGATTCTTTTTTTTTCTTCCAAGTCAATCACCTTCTGCTGCTTGGATGGGTGGATTTGGTGCTCAGCCTCCCCAAGGACAAGCTCCTCCCCCTGTAATACCTCCTCCTAACCAAGCTGGATATGGTATGGCAAGTTACCAAACACAGTGAGCTGGGACTCTAAACAAAATTGTAATTCATGATAGGCTTCAATTTCTTGTGACACTCTGAAGACATGAACATAGACATCGGAAAATGAAAGTATTTATTTTAAAATTTGAAATGTTTGGAACCGTTAGCACAGCTTTGCTTGGGTGAAGGACACATGTCTTCTAGTTCTGCCTTTTTAAGTTTTTGTTCATGATGGATATGAACATGATTTTTCTTTGTGTACAAAAACTAAAATAAAGTCAATAAAGACAATTCTGACTACAAATTTTGATATAATAGGAGAAATGGGTAATACATTTTGATTCTTAGCTACTGTTCCATTTTTATCTTGCTGTTCAGTATTTTAACTCACTGTGTTTTTAAAAGAGCAAAAAAGGGAGGATCATGAAAAACTGGGAATCATATAAATTCATCCTGAATCTTGATACTCCCCTTCCTTTCCCTGAGGTGGACCACATTTGAAGTCAACAGAAAAAGTGATATTCAGAAGAAATGCATGATTTTGGAATCGCTTTGGAGGAAAATTTACTTTCTCTATGGCTAAAGAAGCTGAAGCCAGACTGAAATTTTGCAACTCAAATAAGGAACAGTGTTGTCTGAGTTACTTGAGCAAATGGTGGTCCACATTTAAGACATATTTCTAAAACTTTAAAAAGTGTTGATTATTAAAACTGTAGTATATTACATTTCATTGAGGGGGGGAGATTCCAAGTATGGTGTTTGTATTAAAGTCAAACAGTCATACTTGAGCTTTTACATGAAGTTCAAATGATATACATTGTAAATACTGAATAACTACAGTGTTTAAAAAGCATGCTTCAACATAGAAGTAGCAACAATGTAATTATTTGAAATAACACTTATTATACTCCATTGCATTGAATGCAGTGGGTTGATGAGGATGTTTTAAGACTGACATTTCCAAGGTTGGCTGTGTAAAATTAAAATGACTCAAATCCTATACAGAAAAAGCCTTAATTTTAATTTCATACAAATCTTAGTACATTCTAAAGTGTCATTAGATTTTCTTCTTTTTTTTTCTTTGCATTATGTGGTATGTAAATACCTTGATTAAAACCTTAAGACAGTTTCAAGATTGCTATAAGTTGTATAGCACAAGTGTTTTTAAAAAATCTTAGGGTGTTTTTAAAAATTAAATATATTTTGCCCAAGAATTTTTTTAACAATATTGCTAAAACATCTTATTTAGACAGTTTGATGTACCAGTTTATAATTGGATGTTCGGTTTAAATAGTACACAGAGTTGTGACTTAGTTTTTTTTCCTGTGGGAAGTGTGCATGGGATGATGATCCTGAACAGAAGCTTGAGTTGTATGTGTGCCATTGTAAATGAATCCGTTGGGATACTGCAGAATTTTGAGGTTTGCTTCCAAGGTGTTTTTCAGCCTACGTGGATAAAATCTGCCTCAAATTTCTATAAAACAGGAATGTAAAATAGATAAAATCCTCTGTATTTAAATTGTGACAGCTAGGGGGTGCACATGTTTTGGCAGTGTATTCAGAAAGTTGGCCTGAGCACCAAATGAGAAAACATATTTTACAGTTAAGGTGCACCTGGAATCTTCAAATGGCCATTTTTAAACCTTTGAAGTCTTACAGTTGACTTTAAAATGATTATTTTATATATTGTTGGTCATAGTAATTTTAGTATTACTTTTGTCTTTTCCCTTTTGAGAAATTCAGCCAAATTTATTCATAAAAGTTAGTCTGAAGTTCCTCTTTAAGCCAGATTTTTTATGGCACATTAGTTTGAACCGCAGCAGTTGTTGCACTCCTCTGTTACTGTACTCTTACCCTTTGTTTCTTCTGTTCACACTATATTTGGGAAATGTTTTTTGAAAAGTTACTTTATATTTTGTAGAAAGAACAGTCAAGAAATTATGTCTCTGAATTAAAATTTTCATGAATATTTTTGAAATGTGAAGAACTAGACTTTTTCATAAAAGCCTGTTAAATTTTGTTTGCCTTTTTTTTTTTGCTCTGCCACTAAATTAAGTGATTTACTGAGATAACAGCAAAATACAACTGTAGTATTTCCTAGTTGTATGTAATTTAATAAAATTATCCAGACAAGTTATATTGCCATAGTAAATATATAACTGAAGTGTCCTTTGTTTTAATCTGGATAACAACAAGATTTCATGATCAGTTAAAGTTATTTCATGTTAAACAGTTTCAAAATACAAAGCTACTTACCCAAATGGCATATACCATTTAGGAAATAATGACTATCAGGCTAAAATAGACTCAGGCAATTTTGTAATACAGACTGAAGTCCATGCTATCTGGATTCAATATAATGCCAAGAGGCATTGCTTTTTATTTCCCATGTTTATTTAAAATAGCAGAGACTCTTTGGCATGCAAGGAAATGTTTTTTATTTAATAATTATTTTGAGTTTTATTTTGGTGATGTGTTTCTGCCTGCCATTTTCTTTGCTCAAATCATCTCTACCAGTATTTCCCCCATGCCATTCCTACCTGATTTTTATGCCTGCTGGCAGGGAGAGGCCAACTAAAGCCAAAGCTGTAAACCACAGTTAAAGTCTTTCAATAAAGACTAAACTCTATAAGAAGTGGCTTTTCTTATTGTCTTTTATTACATAATTGTTCTTCCATGTACCATGAAATAAGCAGTTGGGTTTTATCAGTAAGATATGAGGAGTGCATACATACTCAGGACTTATTTCTATGTTCTGTGTAAATGTTGAAGTTCATTAACCCTTTTTTAGTTAAATTTAATCTGTGAATATGGAGGGATAGAAATTAGCATATGTCTAAAAATATATGTTCTGTCAAATATCAAAGTAAAATCTCATTAACTTGATGTCCACAGATATGGAAACTTCTGTTTTACCATGTCTCCATTGATCTTCATTAGTATCTATGGGTAAAATTGGACAAAGTAATAGGGAAGGGCTCAATATGTAGCTCAGTTATAGCACTGAGGCCCTGGATCCAACCCCCAGTATCAAAAACAAGGGGAAAAATATAATATTTAGGAGGTATGATCAAATTAAATCTTTCACATGTGGATTTATATTTCTATCATTTGTATATTATAAGTATTAACTTTTTAATATGTATTAGACAAAAATATTTGTTTTAGCTGTTTACTAGTTTTTCATTGTTAAATGGTCCAAATAAGGGTGAATGTATCCTGCTATTTGGTAGTAAGATATCCTAGTAGTTTTTATAATTTTATTAATTCAAGTTAGCCTTTTATTTGTTTTTTAAGGAAATAGTGTAAATAATTATGACTTTAAAACTTCGTTCCAAATTGTGATGTTATTGTGGTATTCAAATGCCATACTGATATGAAACCTTGGATCCCATTTTCTGCCAATGTTGGGCTTATTTTGAAAGATGATATAGATAAGCTGGTTACTACAGTTTTTTGTAAGATACTTTGTGCAAATACCTCTTTTAGGGCAAGAATGTGAAAATTCAATTTAGGAAATAGGGATAAGGGGATTATATATTTTATCCTAAGAAGGAAAAAAGGGCACTAATAGTAAATGACCCTTTAGTAAATCTCCAGGCTTTTATATGAGAGACAAAATCTATATAGTTTCTATTCTTTAATTTTTAAAAAAGATTATCAGAGTTAACAGTTGACAAAAGGCACATATCCAGTAAATGATTTCCTAAATGTTCAACATAATTCCAGTATGTGTGCTAACTTTTCCAATTAATTGTATTTATTTCTTGGATTAGAAGACCTAGATTGTGTTGCCTAGATTGGCCTTGAACTCCTCGGGCCTCAAGTGACCCGCTTGCCTCAGCTCCTGAAGAACTGGAGGTAGGGGCTGGGGATTTAGCTCAGCGGCATAAGCGCCTGCCTTGCAAGCAGGCAGTCATGAGTTCGATCCCCGGTACCGATAAAAAGGAAAAAGACAAAAAAAAAAAAAAAAAGAAAAAAGAACTGGAGCTAATAGCCTGAGCCCAAATACTTTTTTAAAAAATCCATTAACAATTGATTGAGTTTCCTCTGGAAAAATTACCTGTATCTGCTGTCTCCCCCCACCTGTTGGTACAGGGGATCAAAACCAAGGCATACAAAGCATGTTTTACCACTGAGCTATACCCTCAGTACCCTCCCTCATCCCCAGCCCTTTTTTTAAGAAACAGGGTCTCACAAAGTTGCCTAGACTGGCTTTGCACTCCAGGGATCTTCCTACCTCAACCCATATTTAATGTCTTGAGGTCATCTTGGAAAGTGTACAAAAAGAATAAAAGTAATGCTTTTTAGATTACTGTTTAAGGAAAGCCAGGAGCTAATTTTATGCTGAAAAATATCTAGTTATTGACCTTGCAGCTGGGCCCAGCTTGCTTGTAGACCTCTTGACATCTTTATACTTAAGAACTTAACAAAAACCCCGTTATCAAATGGTGCTGTACAATGTGGGATTTTTAAGGGAAAGCAGATTTTGCTATCTATAACCAGTAGATAACTGTAACTTGTCCGACGATTTTTTTCCCATTATCCTTCTTAATTAGGTGTGTGTATACCAGTAAAGTCCAGAATCATCTGGGCAAATAGGCATAAGATATGTAACTAGGAGAGTATGGACATGGGCTTGGACAATCTTGGGAAGGTGTAGTAATGCATGGATAATGGTTTGGGTGTTGATGTGTGATATGTTAATTAGTTTAAGACTGTATGCATCAAGAATACTAAGACTTACTGGGTATTGAGAATAAAATACTAGAAATACTTTTGCCCTGCTAGTTTTTTTTCAACTTCCACTCAGTATTTTCATTTAATAATGTGTTCTACATGTGTATTAGAATGTGGGGCAAAAGTTAGTGTTCTAAAATAATTGCCTTTGAGCATTTATGGTAAAAAGATTGAATTAGGAGATCCTTTAAATTCATATTTAATTTATACCCTGGGACATACTTTGTTTTTGAGAAGGATAATTCCCTGTTGCTTTGCTGGTTTTGTTCTTTGGCTGTGTCAGTCAGATTCTTACATTAGAATGTAAGCTCCAAGGGAGCAGGTACTGTTGGAGTGTGTCTCTTTCTAACAACGTTAGTGCTTGTAATAGTGCTTGGTGTGTTACAGATGTTTAATAGAAGTTGATGCATGACCATGATTGAGGAAGTGAAAGTAAGCATGTATTTTAGTCACTGTCTTGAAACTGAAACCTCACCTGGTACTCTGAGTAGGACTTTAATCAGGATCAAGTGGGTGCTTACTAAAATGCAGATTGTGGGATTCCACAGTTGTGGGTGAAGGTGGTCTGAAATAAAATTCATTAGCCTGGGTTCCTCTTCCTGACCGTTAGGAAAGGAAAACTGTATTGCTCATGGTCCCCAAAAACAAAACTGCTACAGTGTGTGTTTGTGTTTTAAAGATCTCTGTGACTACTACCATAATAGTTTGCTAAAATGTTTCAAGGGTGATTAGAATGCGCTTCCAGTAGGAATTCCTGGATGTGTGAGTTAGAAGTCATAACCGCCCCACATAACACAAGACTGACACTGGGCCGTGGAGCCTGATGGCTGGAAGGTAGGGGTGATTTTTAGGAAGAGGTGCTGCCAGCACAGCAGAATTGGGTTCTAGACAGGAGAACTCTAACAGGCACAAATGGAGCTAGTCATGGGAATTGACAGTTGAAATTCTTAAAAGTGACACATGCATCACATGTCTAAAGTAAATGTGTTTCAGCATCTTACTGGTAAACTAGGTAGCATAGGAAGAAGTTTCTTAATTGTGAGTGTTGAGTGTGATGTTAAGAGTAGTTAGGAAAGACTTGTAGAAATCCTGGAGAACAAGTAATTTAACAGTGTTGGTCTTCTGCTATCTGATAAACTTCCTGTGAAGGCATTTAAAATACCATTTTATTTAAATCTGATGTGTTCCATCATGATGGATAAATGTTTATTGAAGACATTCTATTCTTTGATTGGGCTTTCAATATGTAGCACTGGGAACAATATGTAGCAGTGTTTTTTGTATATGTACTTGGGAGTGGAAATCTGAGTTGTAGGATGTGTGTCTAGTCAGTTTTAATAGATGCGACCTAAAAATTTTCAAAACTGGTTGTGTCAGTTTGTTTGCATATGGTATGAAAATCCAGTCAATACCCTAATTAACAATACTAGATTGTAGAAGGTTGTTTTTGTTTTGTTTCTGTTCTAATTGTCCTGGTAAGCTTTTAACCTCGTAGGCTTTCCCAGGTTCCTTTTATTTTGACTATTAATACAGATAATTCTTAAACACAATTTAAAAGTTACTAAAAATACATTAAAAACTTGTTTCTAGTTTCCACCGAAAAGGTACCAATAGTATTAGCATCCTGTATTTTTCTTCTGGTACCAGGAATCAAATTCAGCACCTTATGCTTGCCAGGCAGGTACTTAAGGCTGCTGAGCTATATCCCCAGCCCTCATCCTGTATTTTTCCAAAGGGTTTCGCTTGTATAAACATTCACTCCTTGCTAGAAATGATAGCATGTTATACATGCTGTTCTGTGTCTTTATTTGCTTAATAACTTTAAGAATGATAAGCTGGGTATGGCGGTACATGCCTGAAATTCCACTGTTCTTGGGAAGCTGAGGCAGGAGAGTGAAACCCAGCTTGGGCAATTTAATGACATCGTAGCAAGACAGTCTCAGAATTTAAAAAAAGGTCAAGGGAAAAACGGTGTGAAGACCCTGGGTTCAGTCCTCAGTACTGGGAAAAAACAAAATGACATGATAGTTGCATTAGTTTTTTAAAAACATGAATCTGGGGGCTGGGGATTTAGCTCAGCAGCATAAGCGCCTGCCTTGCAAGCACGTGGTTATGAGTTCGATCCCTGGTACCGGTAAAAAAAAAACAAACATGAATCTACTAACACTTGGACCCCAAATTGCCTGTATGATGTGGCATTGTCCCTAGCATAAAACCCCAATTTTCAGTAGTTTACTTCAACCTGAAAACTGTGGATAGGAAGTATACAATTGTTTTAATCAAAACAAAATTACAAATATTGGCAAGAATGTGGAGCCTTTTTGAACTCTTGGTAAAGTAGGACAGTGTTACCACTATGGGAAACAATATAGAGATTTTGAGAAGTTAAGAGTCGAATTTCCAGTTGGGTGCAGTGGTCCACTACTGTAGACATGGGAAGCTGAGGCAGGAGGATCAAAAGCTTGAGGTTAGGTTGAAAAACTCAGGAGGCCCTGTCTCAAAATTTTAAAAAAAGGTCTGGGGATGTATCTTATTGGTTGAAGGCTTGCCTAGCATCCACTAGCTCCTGGATTTAATCCCCAGTGAGAAACAAGCAAAACTGATTCAGCAACCTGCTCCTCACTATGTATCCAAAAGAATTAGGTCTGGAGATGTGGCTTAGTGGTAGAGCACTTGCTTGACACGTGAGTCCCTGGGTTTAATGCCTCCGTCACCACACACAAAGCAGGTTGTTAAGGATCTATCCTTTTGTGTATAACAGCACTATTCACAATAACCAAGAAGTAGAAACAAACCAAATGCTCATCCACAGTGAATGAATGAATAAAATGCAATGTTTTATTATGGAATATTCTTCAGCCTTAAGAAATTACATTGTGACATATGGTATGACAT